TTTTTCTCCAGGAAAATTTCAACTCTTAAACTAGCAATTTTTATTTCATCAGAAAAACATTGTTGTCTTGAGCTCACATTCAAAAAGTTGTTTCACCAATAATCATTTTTTGTTAAGTTATTGGTGTTCAAAGATTGCCAATTAAGGACAATTTACACGCGATAACTTCGTGCTATCAACGCAACGCGTAAGCAGCTAGTTCATCAGCTCATAAATTGTTTCAAATTCATTTGAAGCATGCTATTCGATCTATTTGATACTTTGCTAGATGCTAAATCTATCACTTTTTAATTTTTATAGCGCCTGGGGAATGATTTTCAAAAATCTCAAAAATATTAAATTTTTTTAAAATGGCCACAGACAGTTGGAAAAGAGATGAAACAATAAACGCAAGTAAACAGAAAGAAATATAAGATAATCTCAATTTTCGAATTTGTGAAAAATAGATAGAAATTCAAAGAGCATTGAGGCCATCTATTTTTCTCTAATTCGAAAATTGAGATTATCCTATATTACTTTGTTTGCTTGGGTTCATTATTTTAGGACAAAAAAAATCAGAAAAAAACTTCAATTGCAGAAGAAGATTTCAATGCCTCTCAAAAAACGATGGGTGAATTTTCATATCAAAATGAGCAGCCGTAAACCTTCAAACAACTAGGTTCTAAACTAATGAGATGCGAAAAAAGAAATCATTTTTGATGAGTTAAGACAATTCTTACGCACCTAGCTTTACAGAATCTCCGAGAATGATCGTTTTAGCGATAGTGGAAACTTGGCGAGGCCACGATCCTTCGCTAATTTTTTATCGCGCATCCTGAATTTAAAACCAATAATTACAAGCAACAATTTAAATCTTGAGCAATTTGTTGGTAACTGGTAATCAATTGAAGATATTTGCAATTCAATTTCGCTAGTTTATTTAGAATCACCTGACCCGACTGTTGATTTCTGATCTTTACACAAAATATAATGAACTTGCCTTGAAACTTTATTTCTTATGTCACTTCTTTAGAGGATTGCAAAAATAATTGGAATACTAGAAAGCAGATATAGTAGCTTCAAATGAAGGAGAGTGAAAAATTGTATTAGATGATCCTTTCTTTATCCATCAAATTTGTGTATTTTCAGGTGAGCGAATAATCTACTTTCAGGCCATCATTTCACAATTTTTCAACTAAATGGTTTCCTTTTCTAACCAGAAGGAATAAAGACACGTGTAGAAAGAACTTAACTTAACCTAATCAAAGAAAGCGGATATTACTTGTTTTAGTCCATTAGTTTTATACAAACTGATCCTTACAAACAAAGACGTGCTGTTTTTGACCGAAACATTGAAAGAACTTAAAAAATGAAAATTAATTCGTTCATTGATACTCAAAAAGTTTTCTAGATTTTTGGATCTACCGAATACACTGATTAGATTAGTAACACTTTCTTCGACTATTGTAGTCTTTATTGCCCGACATTTGATTGCATACTGGTGTTTTAGTTTTCTTTTCTTTTTTCCACGCAAAATTAGGTACCACAAACAATCATTGGAACGGGTCGAGTGATAAATCAATTTAAAACACTTTCAGTCGTGATTAGAATGACATAGAATGTGATTAGATTGACATAAAAAATCCAAATAAACTTTTTTTTCAAAGTGGAAAAACCGGTTTGAAGTTTTTGGCTTTTCATCTAACTTCGAGCGAGTGAAGCAAGCGACCATGGTTATTTATGCTTAATTTAAGCCGTTTCTAATAGCTTATTTATGTTTTATTTTAGTTTTAATTGAGTATAATTAATATTTGGAGTTTTATTGAAATATCAAAAACTTCAAACTCAAAATTTTCTGCAAAACCAACTGAAAATTTTTTATTTTCCTTCAATAACTGTTGTCCCTATATCGCCATAAACATAAAACCTGCGAAAAAGTTTTCCGTAAGTACCAAATCATAGCGAAAATACACGAGCTAATTTGACATTAAGTGCTGTAACCAAAAGCTTCAGTAAAGATGAAGGTTTTAGAGCATGTCCAATTTTTATGATACAGTTGCAGAAAAAGAAGGCTCAATTTTTTGATTTCAATAAGACAAAAGAATATTTCGTAGAAAAAAAAATACGTTAATTTCTGCGAAAAAAAAACAGGTGAATTGGCAACTTCGTTGCAATAGAGGTGACACTGCAAGTAACACAAAGGTGACATTGCAACTTCGCAAATATAGCCAACAAACAGTTAAAAAAGAGTCAAGGATCGCAAGGAAACAGAGTCAATGATCGCAAGGAAAATAAGCAGTTATAAGCCTTCAAACAACTAGGTTCTTAACTTAATGAGATGCGAATAAAGAACTCATCATTTTTGATGAGTTAAGACAATTCTTTGCCTGCTTTACTATGTAAAAAAACAGTAAAAAATATGGAAACAATAAAAAAAACGTCAATTTTCGTACTTCAGAAAAAAATACATCGCCTTAAAGCTATTTAAGTTTTGAAAAAAATTATGATTGATACTCTTTTGATAAATTTTACTCAATTTGCAATAATTTAGGTTTTCATGCCTCTGAAAAAAACTGAAAAAATTAAAACTTATTTTCGAACCAAGAAGTCGATACGTTCTTTGTGCCCTTTACAATTGTTCTGTTCGATAAGGGAAATTGCCTCCAAAGAAAAGCTACGGAACTTAAAACACAGTGGCGAAACGTAGCTTCGCTCCACTTTCAATACTTCACAAACATAGCTTTGAGAGATAGCAGATAAAAAATGAAATGAAAGCCAATAATTCGAAAAAAAACAAGTTATAGAAATTTTATTATTTGGTCTAGAATGCTGCTTAATTTGAGGAAAACACGACTAGCAACAAAAATGCCGGCCTCGCAAAAATATTTATCGAGTGGCAACTAAACCGTCAAAAATTTCGACAAACTCCCGTTGAGTCGAAAACAATATTGTTGTCATGAAGTAATTTTGAGAATTTAAATGTTTCTGGAGAAAGAGGCGGAGGCGTAAGAAGTGGGTTTCTCAAAAAACGACGAAAGAAAGGCTATTAAGCCGATAAAACATACGCCAAATCCATTTAAGCCGAAAGAAGCTTATAAAAGAAAATATACAAAGTCTGAGGTAGTAAACTTACAAATTACAGGGATAACTCATCACTTGCAACTACAATAAAAAACGTACTGCACAAAAAGAAAATCGGATATGGTAACTAAGCGGACAATACAGATAGGTTGACAATAATCAGAAAAACGAAATGCCGAACTTTATGAACTAAAAATTTTCAGTTTGAAAAACAGGTCCTGCCGGATTCAAACATAGGACCTCAGACTAAATGGGTCGCAGGTGCCAAGAAATTGAAAGCTTCATTAATCAAGCAATCAAGTGATTCCTAGATTCTGTTTAACTAGTTGTTTACCGGAGAGTCTATATTCCGATTTGAAAATGCTTGCTAATCAAAAGGGAAAAATATCAAAACAACGGAGAAACAAATGTGAGCGTGACTTTTTCTGCAAAAAACCAAGCAAAATATTACGCCTTAAATGTCTTCACAACGTTTATTGACTCTTAAACTCAAGCACCAGAGCGTCATAAGTTAGCTTTAAAAGCACAAAATGTAAAAGGCAACCACGCTCGACAACTTTGCATGAAAAAAGGAAAACGTATGAAAACCAAAATCTGTATAAAGTATGCATATCAAAAATTTCCACAATAACCTCCTCAATTTCTTAATTTTCTGAAACGGAACTTTTTATTATCATTTTGAATGGAGCAAACTTTTGTTAGTTCATTCAATTAAAAAGCATCAACTGTATCTTACTATCAAATTTCAAAGCATATACTATCAATTCTCCATGCTGCATGAGCCTCAAATGCCAACAAAAAAGCCCTAACTAAAGCGACCTAGATTGGAAAAAATTGGCCTAGTATTATCAAACTTTGCTCCATCTGTTTAAACACTGTTCTAACTACTTTTCCTGTGTCAAGCCGAACAACAATGAACTTCGTTTTCTTCTTATATAGTACCTAAGCTAGTGTTGAAAAATTAATAGGCCCAGTGTACCCTTGGTTGGGTTACGTAGCAGTACTTAGACAATCGTGTATTCATACTCGTTAGTAAGCAGACAAATACTGTATTGACCAATCAGAATCGAGACAAGGAAATGAATAATTAATAATTATTTAGTTCGTAAATTTGCTTTCTCGTCTCGATTCTGATAGGTCAATATGGTATTTGTCTGCCTACTGACGATTATGAATTCGCGGTTGTCTAAATACAGACCGCACTTCCTTTGGCTGTTTATTTCTTGTTTTCTGGCAGCGATTAAACAAAAGGGTCAATAAAAAAAAACAATTTAAACAAAAACGGCTGTTTCGGCAGTCATTTGATTTCAAGAGCACTACTTTGGTTCCAAAAATTTCAGCTCCCGTGTTTTGTTCAAAACGATGATTAAACAGAAACGACCTTGACTAGATATAATGGAATAGCTAACTACCGCCTAATTTCTAAATTTTTATAAAGCCAGGTTCATTCTTTCCAAGTATCTCCGGCAGTTGCAATGAAAACAAAAAGACAAAAAACGTTACAAAAACATTGTTCACCTATCTGCTGAGTTGAAACGAACAGTTTGTTTATCAGGGGTCCATTGAAATCATCGAAGTTACTTTTGCGTGAAGAATAGTGTTATAATAATTGTAATTGTGATTTCTGCTATTCACAGAAAGGCTTATCAGGGCTGTTTTAAGCAAAGTCTGTTTCTAATATTTCCCGCACGCTTTTTGCCTCAAGGTCGTTGTTTGCAATTAAAACTATCACTTGGCACACACTTTCATTGTTATGGCAGATATCGATTTTAAGTGAATGCCTCAACACTATTCTAAGTGCACTTGTTTTCTTAACGGTGTATAATTTGTTTCATCGAAAACTAAAAATGTGCAAATATTAGCCTTTTTCAGTCAATATTTTGAGATTGTAAACACAACCTTTATTACTTGATAAAAAAAATGGCGTTGTGAAAAATATTTTTAAAATGGACAAAATTTATAAATTCAGAATTGAAATGACGGCAAAATTCCCGACAGCAAATATACCGTCAATATAATTCATAATTATAAGCTCAGACATATATACTCTCTAAATCTAAACCTTTTAAACATAATGAAAAAGAGAACAAAGACTTTCAACTCTTACAAAACAAAGTTTCGGGTCCAGTTCATTACAGCTCAGCAAATATGTATTGATTTCATTCAATTTTCACTTTTAGTGTTCAGTTAATCGTAGGATCAAAATTCTGAACATAGTTCAAAATAAGCAACAAAATCAAGCTGCTAATCATCAAAACTTAAGTTATAATATCAAAAAAGTAGAATCTGAAAGTAGCGATCTGATATTAGTTCTCATCAATGACCTTTATATGGGGGGACTTATATTTGTTGCAAACTATAAGAGGCACCATTTTAGCACGTATAATAGAATAGAAATTAAAGTCATTAATTCATAGGTCATCAGAAAACATTTTTTCAAAAAGCGACAGTTCTTTGTCTGTTTCTTTGAGATTCACATTGTCATTTGTAGATTTTGGTTTCTGGCTGCTTTCCATTGTTTTGACATCTGAAATTGCATCTTTTTTACTTTCGTTACATTTGTCTTTCGGCACAATGAGTGGTCTGCTTATTTTCTTCTTGATCCTTTGCACTTGATCTTTCAAGCTTGCACTATCAATTTTCGATGTCGTTTTCAAGAAATCGAAATCGATTAAACCATTCGGCGAATATTTTGAAGTCGACGCTGAAATTGAGGAGGTCGCTGAAGATACCGTGAATCCATTTTGCATGGAATGTTGCGGTGTTGAAATTTGCACCGGTGATTTTGATACTAAATTGATTTTTTTTCTTTCGCAGGTTCCCGGATTAAAATTTTCTGGTGATATTTTCCATTCGGCGAAAGTCGGCGACGCTTCATCAAGTTTTGTGAATATGTTATCTGTTTTAACAGATAAATTGCAACGTTTTTCGGTCTTTTTTGACAAAATCGACTGTTCGTTTGTTTTCTTTAATATCATTGCATCCTTGGACAGGTTTTGGACGGGGACTTTTGCAGCATCTTTCTTTGTAAAACCTGTGTGATTTTTATTTCCGTCTAAGCCCGAAACTACACCCGAACTGGTTAACTTTTTCGCACTGCTGCTGTTGCTGAATTCTAGTTTTCCAGTTGGCGTTATTCGGTTTGGTGACGATGATACTGCTACTTTGATATCGTCAAAACTTGCGCCCGAGAAGCCAGGCAACAAACCTTTGCAAGAAGTCGATTTTTTATCTGTGCACTCAGATGGCTGTTTGTTGGATGACTGTTTAGTTGAGTTAACAATGGCACCATTCGATATCGTTTTCTCCTTTGTTTCTGATGTTTGTATTGTCAACTTCTTTCTTTTCTTCGGTTTAACTTCATTTGCATTTCGGTCTTTTGCAATTTCAGATACATTTTTCCTTTCACGTTTCCGAGATTTCACTGTTTCATTGGTGGCCGCTAAAACATCTCAACTTGTTATTTTTCTTTAAACGCTGGGCCTGCAAAAATATATCTACTACCGACTTTTCAGCAGCACCAATTAAATGCATGATATAAAAAAGAACCCGATAGCCCAGAACATCAAGTTCTTTATTTCCTTTTATAATAAAGAATAAATCTTCGATTTAGTCTTCATGCATTTTCAGAGGGTCGTTATTCATTTTTGCCCACTTGTTAATAAACTATTTTCTTACCTTCTGTTTCTGAAAACTCTCCGGATCCGATGCCTTCATCTGCCGAAGATAAAGAACCCTCTTCGTGCTTGCGTTTGACCAGATCAGAATCTGGACACAAGATATCCGGCAACAGTCTGAATCCTGCCAGGACCAACTGACGCTTGAACATCTCGTAACACACTCGGTGGTACATCTTGAGAGAACGCTCTCGCTTCTGTACCAAATTGACCATATTGCGAACCTTCTCGAAGTCCTGGCGAAGAGCAACAAACATCGCAGCTCGGTTCCGAAGACTCTCCGCGGCATCTAACTGCGTTTGCTGTTCTTCTGTCAAGGTTAGATCCACCAGACCAAAATTAGTCTGCTCAGACTTATTACTAACTTGGTCTGAACACTGGTTATTAGAAGTGGGTAATGATATTCTGTTTCTGAAAAGTGCACCCGATATTCGTTTTAACTTCCAATATTCATACAACAAACTTGCGAGAAAAGGTTTCACATTTAGCTTTCTAGAAACTTCCTCGGGACTTGTCAACGTATAGAACTTGCAGAGAGCTTTGTTGATTCTATTGCGCATTAACGTGTTGTCGTCTTTAGAGATATTAGTTGTCGGAGATAAGGTTAACTTTTTATTTTGAGGTGAATTTGAAACCGTTTTTTGGGACATAGAACTTAGCCTCTGGTGATTCGTGGGCTGAACTTGTTGCGCTGAATTGATACTTTTCCTTCGCCTTTCTGTTGTATGTTTTAGGCAGTAGGATTTGAATACTAGATCGCCTGTAACAAAAATGTTTCTGAATTTTAGTCTTAACATGAAATTAAGAATCCTGTCTGATATTGCTAGTTTTCACTCTTAACAAGTGATTAAGGCCTCACAAAGCGTGATCGCCTTTTTTGAATTGAACAGGTCAGTTAACAAAGGAACATGAAAACCAGCAATCAAAAAATTTCACCTGCAAAATACGAAAGTAGTTTCCACTTTATAAGACTCAGAGAACCGCTACCAAGCAGTTGAACTTTAATACATGTATGTCACCCTTCTGAATTCATTGCGATATTGAGAAAATCTAGAGAGAGCCTTTTGAGCAAAATTGCCGTGGCGCAATCAATTTGACAAAAGTGGACTTCATGGAAGATTCGGAACCAAAAAAATAGCCGTAAAAATGGTACGTTACTTTGCAACCTTAGAAGAAAAATGGAACTTTTAGAGAAAAACACGCGGGGAATGCTAACCTTCTCCCCCCCCCACTGATGATTTTAAAAGTTCTAACCCGTAGTGGCGTGTTGCGTAGTGGTGATATCCAGGTTATGATTAAACCCGCAGGTCACGTGATATGATATTGCACAAGTCTTGTAACTGCACTGAATACACGCCCCCACCTTCTCCCGACACAGTGTGCACACCAGCGCCCATCTGGAGTCCGGAATAGTCTTCAGCTGGACCACTGGTTCCATCTTGTACAAGTCTCCGAAACTGGTCTCAGGGATCCAGAGGACACAGGACACGTGACACCACCGTTTGCCATTGAGCGTGCTCTTCATGGCGCCTCCAGAGTGTGGACAGAGGAAACATCTGGGTTTGAGACCGAGGTAGCAAGTACGACACAGCCAGTCTTCCTCCGGCACATTTGCTATGCCGTAACAGCCCTTTTTGAAACAAAACAAAAGACAACTGAAAAATTTTACTTGAGTTATTTTTTGTTATAATCTGAAAATTTTAAGAATAATTCAATTCGCAGATCGAAAGCAGTGACTGTTTAACGACCAGTTGCTGATTAATGAAATGACCAATTGGTCTCTCTGATACGGTTAAAAAATTGAAAGTTAAATTATCTTGTTCAAAATGAAATTTCAGTAGTTTCTTCTAGGATCAAACTCAATAAGTCGAAAAAACTATATGTACGTAAGTTTTATACTATTCACTAAATGCCAACCAAAAAACTTCCCGAGTTGATTAACATTCAAACAAAACCTACGAAGTGGTAGGGTAGCTAACCCGACAGTTTTTGTGCAGACGCCCTGAGACGAAAAAACTTTAATTGTAAAAAAAAATAAGTTGAAATACATTTTGAAACTCCAAATTTCTCAGCCCCTTCCTCAAACCAAACAAAGCCAGAAGAAATTTTGGGCTCATCAAATGACACAATGCTTTGGGCTCAAATCATAAACTGAAAGCACGGCTTTTTGGCTGAAAGCAGTGTGAAAGGCTACTTAGTCCATTTTTTGTGAGTACAATAAAAAACAAGTAATTGATTTTGCGAAAACAATAAACCACGACATAATTCATTTTGACTAGTTTTCCGTATGCGTACCATTTCTGGAACAACTTTGAATTCAGATTATATTCAGCAATCGAAGAAAAACAGATTGGAAAATAAGCCGATGAATTTTAGACAAAACAAGAAAGCATTGAGCACTTGGAAAAGCACATGAAAACAAAGCTAACAAGGTTTCAGATGAAGATAATGATCCCAAAGAACTACATTAAAACCTATAGCAAAAAAAAATCTGACAAGGAGTCGAGCCATCTACATATGTCAGAAAAGTCTGAGAAGTTACCTCTAAACCAATATTAGCCATGAATGAATTACAAAAAAAAACACAAAAACCAACAAGGAGAGCCGGTTGCTGTGCAAGAAGCAAAAATCACCTGCATGTTACGACATTAACAACTAATAAAAAATCAAACAAACATAGCAAACAGACAGTTGAAAAAGAGTCAATGAACGAAAGTAAACGTATTCTTTCTAGCCGCAACTTTCAAATTTACAAGAAAAAATAGATAGCCTTAAAGCTCTTTGATTTTCTATAACAATTTATGATCGACATTTTTTTTGATAAATTAAACCAAATTAGAGAAAACTGGATCAATAGATAAAATTTATATTTTGCTGGAAAATCTGATAATTAAATTCCATTTTTGAAATTGAATCAAGTTTTTTGAAATCTTTATAGTTTTGCTGTACGATAGTGGAAATTGCTTACCTCTTAACAAAGGAAATGAACTAAACTTGAAAAGAAATCAAAAGTCAAACCGCTAAAAAAAGTAAATTCGAGCGTGAACAAATTTTAAGAAATTTACTTAAAAAAAACAAATAAATCATCGCGCCCTATATAAGAGTCTGAACAACGTTCATCGACTCTTAATACGACAAAAGTAATTTTAAAAACCAAGAACATCATAAATTAAAATAGGCCAAAAAATGCAAAACCGACTGAATTAGGTAAAAAACTGCAAGAATCAAAGGTAACTATCGCTGCAATAACGTTCAAATTATAGTAAAACTATGAACAATGAGTTTCAATATGATGCTACACTTGAACACCTACGAGCATTCCTTGGGGTACTTTAAATAAGGCAAAGAAAAAAATCGACCCTACGCTATAAATCCTTCGAATCCCCTGGTGCGAAGGGTTTAAACTAAAACTGCAACACAATATGGAGGTCCCGTATTAGTCACTTATTGCACTGCATTTGAATTCTAAGCTACAAGAGAAGGACAACGTTGATCCGTTGCATGAATTCAAATAAGTGCTCTCTACGGGAATCAAACCATAGGCCTCGAGCATCCCAGTCGACCACCCTACACAACTGTGGTACTATAACACATTAGTCCCCAGCTCGCATGTGTAATATACAGTTAAGTAAACGTTTTACAGAAGAGAGACCATTTTGCATAAGTAAGAAAGGGATTTTTCAGCATCATGCAGACCATTGATTTGTTAGTTAGTTATTATTGAACTACTTTTAACACTTGACATAAAGTTTTGCTTCACTTTTGTGCGTAACCATGAGAAGATGGCTCCATCTCGATTCAAGTTTTAGTCAATTCCCTCGAATTTAGTCAAATTTTAGTCAAATCTTTCATGCGTCCTTTTAGATCTTGTTAACTTTCTTCACCCTTATGGAACCTTGTAACGAAACTCCCCTATTTAGAAAGAATTGAACATTTAAGCATATACAAATTTTGTACCTTGTAACGAATCCACACCTTGCAAAGGGGGGATAGTTAACAATAACTTTAATTTTTACAGAGACCCATAGTAGTAATTGCACCTCACCTGGTGTACTGCAATATCACACTTGTCACAGAAGAGGATCTCATTGCCCTCCTCGCATGTTCCTTCTCTACACACGTCACACAGTGTGTTCTCGTCATACTCGATCCCATCCGCTGAAACAGAAAAACACAATCAAATTTATCAACATAATGAGACAGACACAGTTCACACATAGCATTATTCATTAGTTCAAACTGCAGGTAGCTTAACTAATATCCAGAAACGGATATAGATGGACGGGGGGGGGGGGGTTCAGCTCCTTGACCAAAGGTCCCTCTGGTACTATTTTGAGACATGCAATATTGGCTGAACGGCCCGAAAAATTTCTTAAGGTGACAGGCGCCAACATATACTAAATTGGAGTGGGGTTCAAAAAATATCAATTTTTTGGTCAAAACTTTTCTAATAGTTTGTTTTTGGTACAACGAATACTTAAATATTTGCACTAGTCAACAAATGTTAATCAACCTTTTTCGTTGTGAACCAAAAGCTGCAGTCTGGAATGCGATGTCTCTTCTAGGAAATCGATCACAAACTCGAGTAAATTGTCACTCATGCTAGTTCCCATTTGGGGCGAAGAACAGAGGGCTAACTCTTCATTCACACAATGCATCCACAGCAGATCTTGGTCGTCACAGTTGTATCTAAACACATTTAATGTTGAGCCTCAAAATGATTCGAACTCACTTTTTTAAATTAATGTTCAGCCTCAAAATGATTCGAACTCATTTTTTTTTATTAATGTTGAGCCTCAAAATGATTCGAACTCATTTTTTTGACAAGATGTCAATAATTCCATAACTTAGTTTCTCGGTTTTTTTATTCGTCTGATTAATTGATTTTTATCATATCTGAGCAAGCAATTCCGACACGTTTTTTCTTACTTGGTCACAAAATGCGTTTGCAACTGTTCACACATTGGTGGGATTGAGGTGTCAATTGGTGTGATTGTGGCTAAAGGCTGTTGCAGGTCCAGATTACAATTGCTCGTAATAGTTTCTTCAGGTTGAATACTGATACCACCTTCTTCTTTAATCAGACCCCTCGTCGATAGACCTCCCCAGGCATAGTTGGGCAAGTATACATTGGAAGGTGGAAGGCACTCGTCTGGAGCGTCTGAGAGTTCCAACTCTCGATCCAAAGTAACGCTGCGTGTGACCTATGAAGCACAAATACTTGAAAAACTACTGGCTTATAATATTCACACCACACAGAAGGCGAAGAGGAGCTTCACGCCACTTTCAATACAACGCCGGAACAGCACGGCAGCTAGCCGAACGAAAATAAAATTCTTTTACACTCGCCCCTCACTGCAAAACTTTCCAAAACTTTCGTAAATGCATGATTTTTTGCAGTAAGACATGAAGAAAAAACGTGTTAAACAAGCGTTTCAATGGTAGCACTTAATTATAGGGGAGTGTGGAAAAGAGCCCAAAAGAAGACGAAATCTGAGCTTTAAATTAAAAAACGAAAAAATCAACATCAACGAAATTTTTCATACGTTTGTCTACAAATAAATTCATTTTGAAAACTCCAGAATCATAATTGCCAGTGTTAAATTAGTAGTGTTAGTATTGAAAAAAATTTACGCAGAGGCGAAGCTACACTTTGCGAATACAAAGGAAAAAACGGCAAAAGTTAAACCAAAAAGACAAAAAAAGGAAAACGCAAAAATCTAACCTCTTGCCATCACCGCCATGTGATCTTGGAATAAGTTAACAGTAACACTAGCCACCAAAAAAAGTGTATCGAATACACGCTTTTAAATTGTCAATGCTATGCAGCAAAAATGCCTCCAAAATTAGCAACCTGTGCGCGTACCGTGGCATGACGGAAGGGCCCATTTTAATTGACCTTTTTTAAAACCAAAATTAGCATTATTTTTTGCTCGTTGGGATAAAAACAGTTTATTCGTACTATATTACAATGGCTTGTATAATCAAGTGGTAGCAAAGCACACAATAATTAACGACAGTGGGGCCACAAAAAAAAAGTAAAATTTGAGCTTAAAAAAGTTTCGAAAATTACAAGTTTTTTACGCTACCCCCACAAACAGACTCATTAAAAAATATTTTTTCACACTTCAAACGACGTTTTATGAGGCAACTATACCGATATAACATGAGCCGAAGAAACATTTGAAGCAAAAAAAAAGAAACTATCATATCATTGGTGGTCTGGGGCATATGTGAAGCCATGAAAACCACACCTGTATAGGTTTCTCCCAATCCGTTCTCCACGTGTCTTCAAGATATAATAAGCCCCCTTCATTCGTCAAATTCACAGCATCTCCAACTTTCATGTCCCTGATGTAATCCAAGCAGTATACTTCATTTGAATGTACCTCTGGCGTTTTAGCCGGTGCCATATGGCAACCTTTGACTTGAATGTGACATTTTGATGATTTTACTTTTGATCCAGATTCCACAGAGTCCCGTGGAATTAAAAGTTTACTGTCCATTAACTTTATCTAACTTTAACTTCTTTCTGATTAAATGTCAACTATTTATTCTAATTTAATTCATATCTTCTGGAAAAACATAGCCCAGTGTCATATAAAGAAAAATTCAGGCAACGAAGTAAGCTCAGGATATCATGTTTACAGAGTTTAAGACTCATGAAAATCCTGCATCGATAAAAAAGGCAAAGCAAACAAATGAAATATATACTAGTACACGACTGCAAAAAATGTTGCTTATCGTAAGGTTAAAAATATCATATAATAAAATTTAATAATAACATTAATAAAATTTTCAAACGTTTAATAAAAATTCAAACGTTTTCGCACATTTAGTGCATCACCAGAATTTAAAATATTACAATAAACATTTATAGAGCGATCAAAGAACTGGAAAATTGACAAAACTGTCTAAAAAATGTGCTGAAAATTACGTAATCTTCAAAAATATTTTCCTGTAAACTTCTGAGATTATTTAGTTTTTTGTTCTCAAATTGTTGAACAGTAAATTATATAATTAAATAAGTTTAACACAGAGACGAAGCTGAGCTTCGAACCAATTACGATACAAAAAAAACTGAGAAATGTCAACAATAACCTAATGTATGTAACATTGGCGCAAATACTTCATAGTGACGGAGCGTAGAAAACAGCACACCTATTGACGACTGACCGGCGTCAGTTACCTAAGTTCTACCCGTTTTCACCTTCTAGACCTAGCCAGTTGATTTTCTGGTCTGTTTAGGCTAAGTAAAAGTTGCCAATTTTAGGCCATCAGTCAAACGACTTTTGATCAGCTTTCGTTACATGCGATAACAACCACATAATTGGGTCTCGCATCCCCAGACTACGTGATTGCTATTAAAAACACGGCTCGAATGACCTATTTTATTATGTTTTTAGTGACAGTTACATACTAAATCCATTGGAGATGGATTGACCCTTTCCTTTTTCTAGCTACTCATGTTCTGAAATACTAAACATTACTGGAGTTAATTCAAATGTTCAGGGCATTAGAGCGGCTAAAAAGTCAATTATATAGTCTCTAAGCATATAATAGTTTCTGGCACCGGGCCTCCAATTCCGTACTCTGTGCCAATCGGTCATATTTGGAAGTTTGACCTTGAGAAAACGTTTAGTCTTGATTTTGGGGTGAAATGCAACTTTTCAAAAATTCGAATTGAGCATGTCATGCTCAAGCTTCTCGCGACAACTGAAAATACCAGAAAATAAGATTAGAAGAACTGAACTCTAATCGCGGGAAAGTAAACGAGAATAGCAGCGGGAAATTGCTATTCGCAATTTCCAATACATAATTCGAACAAGAGTAGAGCTGTCTTATTCTTGGCAGAAGACGGAAAGTGATCGCAAATAGAGAAGAAATAAATTAGAGTGGACCAGAGTGAACCTTCGGTGGAAAGGTGGACAGCTGAAGCTGCTCAATTAAAACATTCGCCCGGAAGATACATATCAACGGAAAATAAAACTAAGTCCTAAGACGACTGGCTAACGTCTAAACAGAGCTTTACATGTTTTTAACCGTCTCTACCAAGCCAGTACTTTCGGTGGTCTTTCTAACATCGGGTCGACAAAAACGTTACTGCTTTCGGCTTCGGTCAAAACACTCAAATTAACTAGATTACATGCAGAAATAGTGAGCTCATGGCTGGGTCTCAGTATCCCCAGACCACGAGGTCACTCCTAAAATCAGGGCTACTACTATTTATTGAATTATGATTGTTTTTGTTCAGTAGATAAAAATCATCATCTCCATCTTAGATGGATCAACCCTTTCCCCCATTTCTTAGCTTCTCATCCTAGCAAAATGAATTCAGATGTTAATTAAATTCAACTCAGGACATGACAGGGAAGCTAAAAGTTTATATAAGTTAATAAAAGTTCCAGTCCTGAGACCCCTCCGGATTCCTGAATCCGGGGAAATAAGGCTCTTATTCTCCTTCGGAAGGCTGTCTTCCACCCTTCACCGTTGATCGCAACGGCCTTGCAACTATTGTAGCGGCACAAGAGTTGCAACTCGGAGCGGTCTCTGCTACTTCTGCAATTCGTTGTTGTTTTTCAACCACAATCTTCGTTGTTTTCGCTATCGCAACTAATGTTGTTGTGTTTTTCTTCCAGTTTTCTGCCAACATGGCCATTTCTGACGTTTCTCAGAAATATGACGTCATACTTCGAAATTTTAAAAATTTGAAACACCGGAATATTCTAGCCTTCACCGTTTGGCCAATCGTTCCAATAACGCTCTTATTCCTTCAAAATTGCCAATTCGGAAGGTTCGCTGTTAAAAACTCGAATATGCCGACTCTGCATTTTGGTCCATTCTGCCCGAATGTCACAAATGGTCCAGATCAAAATCTTATTTCTTTAGTTAAAACTTGTTTATTTCAAACTTCTCGAGTTAAACTTAATTACTCAATCAACTATAGAGTTGCTTTATGACTTAGTGACTCAATTCTAGAGGTCGTGTCGGTATGTGAGTGCCTAATGTAAACTTTTTGAGTGTATTTTATTTTGTTATGTTGAGTTAGGGAGAGTTTTTAGGTTGACCCATCTTAAATGGATCAAAAATCCACTGTCTAATAAAAAGTAACCATACATAAGGTTCCGACCCTGTTTTTAACGGCGTACGTGTTTTTTTTAGGTATTTTGAGACCTGAGTATGGGGCCATTCTTATTTTTTAGAGTGGGGGTATTTTGGTATTGGCCTTTAAGTTGTGACGCGGGTTTTAGTCCCATGTTGCAAGTGGACCGAATTGGCTCCGATCGCTTGAGGTAGAAAAAAACAAAGGTACAAAACAAGAGATAGTGTACCTGACTCTTGAGCCAATATTTATAGGGCCTATTTTTCTTTAATCTCATATGTGAGCTAAGTAGGCTAGTCTTACATAGTTTTTTTATGGCGCTCGTGGGTGTTTATACGACATCATGACTACGGGATCGAACCCACTTTACGCAGCTTCGGGCTACAAGCCCATTCTAGAGTACCGGTGAGCGTTTCAACGGGAACTTATTCACCTTCTGGTTGTACCGTGATAGTTTTTCAAGAAAACTTGAGGAAAACTCTCGGTGCGCTTTCCGAAACGAGGCCCAGCTAACCGAGTAATGGGGGCCACTAGGGGGACAAAAAATGGGTGAAAGAGAAAAAGCAAAACAAAAACTAAAAAGACTAGAAATAGGATTAAAAAACCATATAAAACACAAAAAAAGACAGTGGCTTTGACCTCCAGATTAGGTGGATCAAACCTTTATATTAATTAAAATAGTATACCCATATTGTTTTCCAATAAGATCGATCGTCTCGATCAAATCATCAACGTTGTACAGGTGCCCAAGTGTTGGGAGTTGTAAGGTTTTCAGATAGCTTGTGACATCAGTGGAGCACTGGGAGACTTGACTGGAACAGGTGACCAGCGAAGTGAGAAAGTGGACAACTGGGAGACTTGACCACTGGGAGACTTGACTGGAACAGGTGACCAGCCCAGGGGGAAAGTGTGACCAACCAGCAGGTGACCAGCCAGCAGTATGATCAAAGCAGAACAGAGCAAACCGAGGAAGGTGCACAGTGGTGTTCAGTTTGGTCAACCGGGTATCTTTATAATCCACTTTACAATATAGGAAATAAGTAAAAAATTGGATAAGCGGATACCCACTGTTTTGAGGAAAGGTTTTTACTTGAGCAGAGCTTGGAATCAGGTTCTACGGACTCTCTCTCGAGAGGCTTAGCACCCATTGCGCTCAAGGGTAATTTTCAGCTTAAGTGGAGCGCTAGATAGGGGGAGGTTAGAAGGGGTCTGCTTAAGATAGAGGTTGGCGGTTCAAAATTTTAAAAAGGGGGGACATATTATAGTAACTATTTAATCGATTGCGTCGCTTTAGTTACATTAGTAGACCCAGAGTCTAAAACGATCCATCTATAGACTCAGAACAAGAGTTGCAACGCGAGGAGAACCAAATTAAAGATCGAATTAAGTTAGGTAACCTGGTCGAATCAGGTGAGGGGATCGGAAAAAGACAGTTTTTGGAACCCAAAAGGAGAATACCACATAAGACCGCTAGTAGGGGGGAGGTAAAACGCGTGACGGTCAGGTACCAGACATTTTTTACGAAAGACCGCATAGGTCGCCTTTGAATTGTAGGTATACTTACCTTTCTGGTTTTTGTAATTTTCATTTTTTTTGAGCTTTCACAATTTTTTAACATTTTTGGGCAAGATTTCAAAGAATTTTAACGAATCGGCTGAAGTTATTGACTAACAAATAAGTCGTGTTTCGACTTACATCGGATTGAAACAGGGAAAGTAACTTTAGGGGGCATAGTAAAGAAAATGTTGGTGAACAGAATTGGGATTTGGGGATTTTTTAAATTAACTAGAGCTCCAGAGGTGGTACTGGGATAGTGGATCGGTTATCCCAATACTCGACATAAGGTACGGCGGAATTCGTCAATCAAGCGAACAAACACTTGAGCTACAAGGTTGGAAGAAGTAAAAGAGTCTCGCCGGTAGTCTTGGGATAGTGATCTAGGTGTCCCAACACTCAGTCTTGGGACAGTGATCTAAGCGTCCCAACACTTCAGCGTTGGGTCCTAGGAGAGTTCAGAAAGGTCCTGGGACAGCAACGAAGTGTACCAACATTTGAGCGAAGGGTCCTAGATGAGTTCATAAAAGTCCTGGGACGGCAACGAAGTGTACCAACACTTGAGCGAAGGGTCCTAGGAGAGTTCAGAAAGGTCCTGGAACAGCAACGAAGTGTACCAACACTTGAGCGAAGGTCCTAGGAGAGTTCACAAAAGTCCTGGGACAGCAACGAAGAGTACCGACTCCTGAGCGAAGGGTCCTAGGAGAGTTCAGAAAAGTCCTGGGACAGCAACGAAGTGACCAACACTTGAGCGAAAGGTTCCTAGGAGAGTTCAGAAAAGTCCTGGAACATCAACGAAGTAAACCGACACCTGAGCGAAGGGTCCTAGGAGAGTTCAGAAAAATCCTTAGACAGCAAAGAAGTGTATCAACACATGAGCGAAGGGTCCTAGGAGAGTCCAGAGAAGTCCTGGG